GTGCTGTACAATCATTAACAATGTAAAAATGGTGGAAAGATAAAATGAAACAAAATAAAGCATAATTATACATAAGCAACGAAATGAAAACATCAAATCAAGATTAAATTCTAAAATTGTAACTCAAACACACGGTCAACGTAGAGCAAAATATACAAAGATACACAAAACCTAGAGAAATGGGGGAGAGAAAAATCTGCCGTATGTTCAATAATAGGAAAAACACATGGTTGGCGAGCATTCACTATGGAGGTAGGCTGGCATTAATGGTGAATGGTTAGCTAAACACTTGAGTCTTGAAAGAGACAATGCTATGAAGGGAGCACAGATTAACAGGGAGTTCGTTCCAGAGCCTGGGGGCCACAGAGGAGAAGGCACGGTCAGCACGGGTCTTAAAGTGAGTGAGGGGAACCATAAGGAGATTCTGATACTGTGAGTGGAGGTCCCATCTGGGCTTGTAAGGGGAAATGAGACATTTAATGTATTCTGGGGCTTCAGAATACATTAAATACTTCAGAATACTCAGACTCTCTCAGTATGGAGTCATCCTAATCAGATGAACCACCTCAACGGACTCCTTTTGATGTGGAGGAGCAGCGGCTCTATGCTGAGCTCCCCTTGGATGATGGCCACCCTATGAAAGAAGACCATTTTGGCCACCAGGATCGGGTTCTTTCGGTCCTGATCCACGCCTCATGACCATAGGTGAGGTTGGACCGTAGACAGAGCTGTAAATCCAGAGCTTTGCCTCTAGACTCAGCTCTTTCTTCACCACAGATAACTTAAGAAATACCCTCAAAACTGAGGAAAAGACCCCGATCGATGTGGCAGACCCAACCCTGGATCCAACACGACAGCCCCAGATCACACAGACCCTAACCTGTGCCATTCAACTTGGTGTTAGTCGTGCTGGATTCAACAACATGGCACCTTTGGTAACACTAAGTTCTCTGGTGAAATCTCAATAACARCTCCATTAATAGGAGGAGCTTCAGGGATGATGTCATAACTTTACATAGTTTAATGTTTGCAACTCTTCCTGCTCTTCCAGCTGAAGGAGCAGTTCGGCTTTGATTATCAGACTAAAATGGACGGGGAGGTTTTGTTACATCTGTACGACCGCTTCGGCATCAAGAAGATGGCCTCTCTCCTGGACGGCGTGTTTGCCTTTGTCCTGCTGGACACTGCCAACAGYAAAGTCCATCTGGGTCGAGACACGTACGGAGTTCGACCTTTGTATAAGTTCCTGACCGACGATGGCTTCCTTGCAGTCTGCTCCGAGGCCAAAGGTAGAGGGACTGTTTGGATCTCTTTCTTCTTGTTCTTGAGCTGACTGATTAACCTGTTGCTCTGATGGCAGGCCTTATAGACATCACCCACTCAATGACCACTGCTGCCAGCATCGTTCCCTTTCTGCCCGGACACATCGAGGTGTTTGACCTGCAGCCCAGCGGTAAAGTTCAGTCTGTCCAGTTTGAACAGTTTCACTGCTGCACACAGGAGCCTGCTCACGCCGTCTACGACACTGTGGGGAAACTGCCTACAGGTAAGAGAGGCTTGTTTCAGGGTTCATTCTTAAAAAGTCTAAAATTTGAAAATCTAAATTTTAGGCCTAAAAAAGTCTTAAATGCACAGATTTTCTTCCAAAGTCTTAAATTAAATTTTGTCAAATCTTAATTTGTTTACATTCAATCGTTCCGGAGAAGCGTTGGCTGCAGAAATAAACAGAGTAAAGCACAGTAATCAGAGGTTGATGCCATRTGTCTTCATGAAGTGCTTAGTTTGCTACTGGTCTTGGTACGCTAAACCAGGGGTTCTCAAACTTTTTGGGTCTGGGGACCCCTTACAAATAGGGGTGCAACAATACATGTACCCGTATTGAACCGTTAAATACAATGCTTTAGGTTCAGTACACACTTGTGTGGAACAATACAGATTTTTAACACTTATTTTTAGGGATAAAAACAATTAATCGACTTACGATTAATTGTCGAATAATGGTTTATCAGATTAAAATTTCTTCCATTCAATTATTTGAAAACATCAGTTTAAACCTTATTTCGGTGTAGTTTTGCCTTCATCCAGTAGATGGCGCTGCTGCTCTCTCAGCCTGGCCTTACTGTAAACCCGGCCCTGTTGAGCTGAGCAGAGAGTCGCCTGCCTCCATAATTAAACACTCAAATCTTGTTCAGTTTTATTTGCGACACAACAATAATAATGGACTACACCAAACTCGAAGGAAAATTACCGAAGGCRGTACTGAACCGTCCAGCAGTATGACGCCAAAGACGAGAGCAGGATGACAYCGAGCACGGTAAGCTAACTTTAGCTAACGTTAGCTTCTTTTTGTAGAGTTTAACTCCGTGTGAAATAACAAAACAAAACAAAAAAGTTAGTCAATACATATAAAATAACGTCACGTTAATCTCATCTGTGTGACATAACCCGACCAATGAACCAATCAAATGAAAAATAAGTGATGTCTCAAATCATGCAGCAGCCTGAACCACAGGGATTGTAAACAAACACAGTTCCCCTCATAGATTCATCTTTTGTTATATTTTGTAACTATGTCCAAGTTTAGTAATGTGTGAGAAATCCACAATTTTCTGTTTATTCTGTCAGTGTTTAATACAGCTGGCAC